CCTGCTGAGAGAATCAGCACGATTAACGCGCCACTCGCAGTTACCCTCGGTAGTTTCAGGTTTATTTACGAGCGTACCTCTAACGACGGTCATGAGCCACGCACAATTAGCGCCACGATTAAGATAGTATTTATTGTTACGACACTTTAAGTAGGACTCTAATCATCCCATCATCGCGACGAATTTATTCCCACATCGGTGGTAGACGATAAGAACAACGGCACTCGAAATATATTTAATTCGTGCTTGCGAAATATATTGTACCTCTCGTACAATAGTTTTCCACTTTGTACGATATTTCTAAAATAAAAGCAGTCGAAGCGAATCGTCGCTGCGCGTTTCATTGCAACACCATTCCCCGAACGAACGCCGAACACGAAAAGCCCCGGAATCGAGATGAATTTCAGAACGCTGCGGAGAAAGGGGAGGGCAGAAAGGGACGGTCTTTGAAGCGAAATCCGGGAAATCGGTAAGTCCATGAAGGCAAAACGAAGGGAGTGTCTCGAAATGCTCGCTGCATGAAAAATCGCTTCACCGATCGCGGATTTTCAGCGTTCCCGAATACTTTGATGCGTTATGAATTACAAATAACCCGGGACGGTGGTTTGCTCGCGAGTACGCCCGGCTGACGAGCGGATTAAATATTTCATCGCGCCGGCGAACCGCGCGCGTTTTTACCCTCTGCTTTCACCCTCTCCGCCAAATCCTCGATACACGCGTGCCGAGTCAGGGTTACGCAACAACCCTCCTCGGCCTGGTTTCGCACCCCACGCTCGCGACATCAGGCCAGAGAAGAACGACTTCGTCGTGTCGCTGCGACGCGTTCCTCCGACACGCGACTCGGCGTCCCGACGCTGATAAAACCGCGGCGCCGTCTCGAGTATTATGGATCGTTGGTGTCAAACCTGGACAGTCGGAACAAACGACCTGGACAGGCCGTAACGAGCCGAGGGTAATTAGTCCGACCGGTTGATACGATCGCGAGATCCCTTCTACGAAGGGTGAATGAAAAATGCGCTGACGAAGATGCAGCAGGGAGAGGGATTCCCAAGATTTTCCTGCCAAACGAATTTCCCTATACCTGGAGTATGGAACAAAGTGGTCGTAAAGTGAAAAGGGAGATTGGGGGAGTTTTCAGGATTTACCCTGTATATCCTTAACCGACCACGTAACGCAACTTCGTCCCGGTTAGGGGTAACAATAAAACCACGGCCAGCATGGGGAACGTCAGAGGCCGAATTCGTTGAAGTCAGGCAAAAAGTTTGCCGGTCGTCTTGCACAGGCCAGTGACACGAGCGCCGGTGGAATGGTATTCGGAGTGCGCGGGGGTGGAACAGGGTGGGGTTGAACCTGGATGACAAGGCTCTGGACCGGAAACAGTTACCACCGGCGGCACCACCACCAGCACGGCCGCTTCAACTACAGACACTGGCGGCGCTGTCCGAACTTGAAAAATAATTCAGCACGCAGTAATGTCCTGAATATAAAATTCTCGGGGAACCAGCCAATTTCGAGGCGGAAAGGGTGGATCGGGCTTCCGGTGAATTTTCATTTATAAATTCCGAAAACTTCGAGTCGGATCTCACGTAAAATTGCTTCGGGCACCAGAGGCGCTCATGGTGCACAGATGGAAAGGGGCAGAAGGTCGGTCTTCTAAATTAATCGGAGAGCGGAGCGAAATTCTTTCGGATTTAACTTTCCCGGCAAGTTAAATAATGGCCCGTAATAATCACTTACGTCGAGGCTCGGTTTAATCATTGTCGATCGAGCGGTGCTATTGGCGGAACCGTCGATGTTCCATAGTCGTAGACGAACCGTCTGAATTAATTCGTTAGGCATTAATCTCGCGGAGGGAAAGTCTGATTTTTCCTACGGGATGAATCAACGATAAAGGAGATATTAAAATTCCACCTCGTATATTTAACCCCTCGAGCGTTTATGCTCCCTATGTGCACGACGAGCAAAATCAATTTAACGGATAATCAAATGTCTTGTATATCTCAAAGTGCATCTCGTATACGTTGAATCTGCGGTTGATTTATCTCGTTAACCCATTGCGCTACGAATAAATCAGGAGAAATTTCGCGCTGGGAAAATATTTAATTTTAATTAACCGCCGTGCACCTACTCCGTGCGCGATGAAATTGCGAGGGAATTTAGGGGTTTATAAAAATTTGTTAAAACGCGTGGAATATAATTTTAGCAGCGTGACAACTGTGGCCATTGTACAGCTGGAATGAGAAATTCGTGACGACCCAAACTCGTCACTGTAACGCAAGGGGTTAATTGACTTGCAGTTTATCTACGTATATCTCGGCCCGTCCCGCGGTAAATTCGGTCTTGAACGATATTATCGTGGCGGTTGCGTGTTTGCGATGCTTCAGAAAATTAGTTTCACAACGAACGGTGAAGCTCGAGGGATTAACGGAGATTTTCGAAATATTCCCAACGACAAATCGTTCTCGTGTCTTCGAGCCAGGCCAGGCCTCGACTGCGCGGTCCTCGGGATCGTTTAAAGTATCCGTTTAAACGACAAGAGGGTAAGGATGAAATAACGCTAAATTTACGACGGGTCGTGAATCAACATGCTTTATGATTGTTCGGGTTGCGGATGATAAAGGGCGAAAGAGCGGAGGAGTAGGTAGACCATAGAGGTCGAACGAAGGCTCGGAGGGTTGGTGGAGCGGAGAGGGTGGCAGGGTGAAAATTGGAAAACTGCATTGTCCAGCCGCTCCGTTCCTGCGGGACACATTCGTTAGCGGCATCGTCCACCGACTATAAATTTCGCGTATCTTCCGCATTCCCGTCTTTCATTCTTGCTCGAATTAAAGATCAGCCCGATCCAGCAAATGCAGCAACGACGACACGATGCTGGCGCGCTTATGAATAACGATCCGCGAGATCTCAGTTCACCCATTGCTCGTTCCAGTTGAATAAATATGTGGAAATGCGCGAAAATCGCGGCCTGAAAATGCGATGCCTTCGCTTTCATTGATTCCCTAATCCCGACGATGACTGTTACGAGGAGCGACGAACTTTCACGCGACGTGGTCGAAAATGCGAAATATTTCATGGGGAAATCAAGCGAAGGGACAGTTTTGGTAACGCGTGATTGGTCGACGGTGTATTGAATTTTGAAATTGCCTCGGTGAAAAATGTATTTCTATCGCGTTATACAGCCAAGGTCTCTGAATGAAAAATGGGAACGAATGCTGGCGGAGAGTCAGTGAATTGCGGTTATTGTTCGCTGGATAGGAAAATTACAAGGAAGCAATAACGCGTGTAATTAATTTCTTTCTATCGAGCTCGACCGACCGAATTTCCGGCCAAGCTCGAATCACGCGAAGCGATCCGCGCCGGAGGAAATGACAGCTAATTTTCGCCGTCATTTGCCTCGTTACCCGGCAAACGAACGAGGAGGATTGTGTTTCCCGGAAAAAAGTGTTTGTAATCTTGCTCTGTTGACGCGCGATTCAATTTCGCTGTAACGAATAAACACCGGCAAACGAATGTTCCCTCTCCATCCTGTGCGACCCTCGTCGCGCCCTCTCAAATTCGATAGATACGCGCGAATAGCTAGGAAAAACTGGGCCGATTTAAAGCCACCGCCGGTGCACTGCCGAATTTCGTTAAGTGACGCGATTTCGATAAAAATTCAATTTACCAAAGTAATCTGCCGTGCTACGTGCACCGATATTTCCATCAAAAATCGCCAGAAAAATCGCGTGTCTTGAAACCAGGATAAACCGGGCATTTTTGTCCGCTATTTTCCCGCCTTTGTTTTGTTTCCTTTTTTTTTGTTTCAAAAATATCGAGCAAATAAAAGCTTTAAACTGCGATCATATTTCTCTTCGACGGATGGATAAACCCGAAGGTTTATGACGACCCCTCGACCGACTGATGGATCCTCGCCGGGGGGTAGGAAAGAAAAGAGAATTACTTGGCCAATAAAAGGTGTACGCCATCTTGAACCGTTCACTCGCGATTCAGTTTCGCAGTAACGAATAGCCAGATCCGAAACGCCTGCACCTCTGCCGCCCCTCCTGTCTTCCCAATCGTTCGCGAAAAGCCGGAATTGCCCTCGACTATCGAAAAACAATTAAACCGGTAAAATATCGGCAAACAAGACCCGATGGACGGCTGATATTTTATCAGTCGAAGCTCGCAGCCGTTCCCGGTGAACCTTTCTCACTGGTTCATATGAAATATCCCCGAATTCGTTCCCCCGTCATATTCCGCGCGGTCGGTTCTCCTCTAAGGGCCGATCACCAAAAGATACCTGTAACGGAGTTTAAAATAAAATTCACTCACCGTCGACGCAGGGTGTAAACGCGATTTCCAGTGACTGACACTGACCGGGAACAGCTTGTCGAACGTTCGTACGCAATCAAGAGGGATCAGCGGTCGGAAAATCGGTACAACGACCGTTGGAAAAGTTGGTCGGCCGTGGAATTGTTGAAGGACGACGAAACGTGCAATTCCAGACATGCGCATATATCCTTTCAAAGCCAGACTGTGGATATGTAAAACCGATCCTCCAAAGCGTGTCCAACAATTTCTCTCGATTTTCCCTTTTTTCCCTGATACATTCTCCTGTTAAGTTCGCGCGTGCACGCGTTCCTTTCACCCGTGTTCGAGTTGGAAAACGCGCTGAAATTACCCCCCGTGTGCAAGTTCCTCGAGCACCGTCGAATGGAACACGATCATCGGGACTAGCTCGCAACCTATCTATGGGCGCGACCGCTTTCGACTTTCATCGCGACGAACGACCGAATCGGTTTGCTTCTCAACGGGTCACAGAGTGAAAAGGAGAACCTGGAATCACGGAGGCGAAGCGTTTCGTAGTTGGATCGGGTTATTCGAGACGCACCCTAATCGATCGACATAGCCAAACAGCCGGGAGACTCTTGCTGCGTGAGTCTACACGCTTCATACGTTTGCCACCTATAACAAAAGAAGGCGATGGTAAGAGAAACATAAGCAGACGGGTGGTGAAATAATTGGGGGATGGAAAGGGCGCGGAAACGCCGAGGGACGAGGATGAAGGGTGAAGAAGGGTGAAAAATGGTGGCGAAGAGGGTGGCACGCGGAATACCGCACGTTTCACGATTTCTTGCCAGCTCTTTTCTCTCCTTCGATTCGCTGGATCCGGGGTAGGTTCGACAGGATCGTGGCGAGTGATTGTATCGAATCCTCGAGTACCTGAGTCCCGTGTGCCGTTGTTCGCGCCGCGAATAACGTCGAGAGACACTTTGGGACCGGTCGATTGTTTTTCGGCGACGGGCGAAATTGATTTTTCCCTCTCTCCCTTTCTTTTCCGCCGAAACCGCCGAGCTTGAGAGATTGAATCTGAAAATGTTCCGAGGAGAATTTGACATTTGCGAGATTAAGTGATACTTCTTGCGGTCGCGTTGCCGTTGACGATGATAAATCATCGGATCGAATTTTCGAACGGTTCCTCGTATCGCTGGAATTTTTAGGTTGAGTACCATCGATCACCTTCCTTTTTTCCGCCCACCCTGCCGACCGACCTTCCGGTCTTTTTTCTCCTGTTCTTTCTCTGCTCTTTTTTAAATCGTCGATGCTGTTTGGTAACCGTTCGACGGTGCTGCTCGTGCAAACAACAAACCCGTTTCCATCGTTGCAACGAGAAATTGCGTCGAACGGTGTGCAAACGTTCGAATAATTTGCGTATCGCTTCAGCTCGCAGGCAGCGCCGATAAGAAACGGCAACGAGAGCAGAGGGAAAAGAAAATTCGTTTGTTAGTTCCTGGATGAGACGCAGGAGAGAAGGAGTGAGAGAGAGATGTAGAAGAAGAAACGAAACCAAACGAAATCAAACGAAATCAAACGAAATCAAACGGAACTAAACGAAACGGAACAAAGGGGGATGAAACGTTGATGAAACTGATATTGAAACGGGAGGAACGAACGTGATAGTCGTTTTATATCATCATTACATTTATTGAAACAGTATTCACGTCGATGAATATCTTTACAGTATAATAGTCTGTACTCGTTTGACGCATTTTACCTCCTGCCACTTTGATTCATGCTTCACGTTCCACTATAACATGGTACATTATCGATTATGAATTTCCATATTTTTTTTTTTCTTTTTTTTTTATGTACAATGCGATCTAGGCTTAACTATAAATTGTGCAACATTTTCGTAATTATGCGAGTCGCGGATATCGATTATCTAGTGACACAATTAACGTGTAACGTCCTTCTCGATATTTTTCTGTTTCTCTCTGTAATTATCAGCGATTAACGCGGGTCTCGGGCGAGCTTTCTCGTATTCCCTTTTTCGTCCCGCGCGTGAGATCACTATGGATGTCACGTGGAGAGCGTCGACATCGGAGTCTCTATCTAACCATCGAACCCAGATCGTTATGACCGAACACCAATCCAAAGGAACGAGACTCGAAGGTGATCCAGAACAAAGTATTTACCGATAAAAATTGAAGGAAATTTCGTTTCTCTCCTTTTCTCTGTTTCTTTATCGATAACCGTGAACCTCTCTAACCTGTCCCAACGTTATTCAAATCGATGTCCACATCGCGAAAGCGCCAAATCTCTGAATAATATCACACGCGGTCAACGTTCAAAACTGGCAACCTGATCGATCGTTTTGTCTCTCGCGTCTCGTCAGATTGTTCTCTCCATTTCCGTCTCATATTTCTCATTCGACTTTCTTTCTCTCCTTTTTCCATCTCCTTTTTTATCCTTATTTCTTTTCTATTTAAATAACCGCGCGTGAACGTTCGCCGTTTACTTTTAACGCGATCCCCACGCGTCGACTTGAAAATATTGTCCTCTCACAACGACATAAATTACCGTATAAACTATACAAGAAGGAATAATATATTATATCGCGAACCATCCTCCTTCTCGTCCGTGCTGTAAAATCCGTGTAACGTAACCACCGTGATCGCGTTTCCAGCAGTCAGTTTCACGCCTCAGTCCCTCGCCACGTGGTACAACATTATAAAAAATCTATTTAGACCTATGGTTAAGTCGCGCCTTAAATCGCTATACTCGTTATGATATCGTTTTTCGTTACATTATTTATCCGTAGTAAATCTACTGATCAAAGTCGCTACCGTCGGTGCCTTTAGATCTCGCGATTATCCTCGCGAGTTATATCCTAGGGAGATGCCGATGAATCCATAGACGGAGGAAAAACGGAAAAGAAGATACGAGTTTGAATCGCGTGACTAGAGAGAGAGAAAAGAAAGACAAATAAAATGGAATTAAAATCGACATTCGCATTTAGTTTACTCTGAAATTCGATGCTTATCCGACGACAGATGCTTTTCTCTTACAACGCGTAACCATTTAGAATACTCGAGCACTCTCCTCGACATAGTAAACGGAGACAGCCCGTTCTGCTTCGATCGACGATTACCTATTAACGATACCCTTAATCATACGTGTACATTATCCTCGTACGCTTATCTATACACGAGCCCTATGCTTAAGTCGCGCTCATGGAATTCGTAATTCTTACAAGGTAAAATTCTCACGGAGAGAGCGTGATTGCACGTTCGACCAGACATTAAACGATAAACCAACGACGACCGATCGCGAGTCGAAAGATGAAGAAACGTTTCTCGATAAAAACCAGGCACCGATGAAACGCTCGCGTCCCCTGGAAACGGAAAGTGAGCAGACGTCGTGAGCAATAATCGACACGCTTAATCCTCGTTCACCGTCTCTCTCTCTCTCTCTCTCTCTCTCTCGAACAAACAGAAACATATCGAGCGTGATTAATGTATTATCGTTCCTAAAACCGACACGAATACGCGTCGATGTGAAACCCCTTTCGTCGACCAGGAACCGTGGCTCGTACGTCGGCCTCGACGAAGTTACAGTGATCTCGGTGTCGAATTGATCAGACCTGGGCAAACTTTCAGTGATCTAATCGCGCGATCGACGATATCGCGGATAGATCCATACTCCTGAACGCCTCGGACGAAGAAGGAGAGAGCTCTCATCATTATGTACAAACATTGCCCAGATCCGACGACGTTCCCTCGTGATACTCGATCGCGTTGTACTGTACAAGCAAAGTCGCGACGAACCCCCTATTCGTTAAACGTCCTTCCCTCTTCCTTCTTTTATATACAGAGAAACTTACGCTCTACCTATGCGATACGATTCAACGATAATTAATCGACCATCGAAATTTGCATGGTAAATTTTTGATTACGCGGGTTCGACAGTCCCTTCGACGAGCTCCAGCTCGCGAGGTGTCAACGAGTCGGCTATGCAAGCACGCTGGACACACTCGTTCATCGACCGCATCCGTTCCGCAGCGTAGCGCGGAATTCTCGCGGGATTCTTTAAGTATCCGCATCGTTTCGAGTTCACAGAGACCACCAAACGAACGTTCTCCGCACACGACACCCCGCGAAGGAATCACACCACGACGATCGATCCTGGACCAACGCGTGGTCCATGGAAAATTGCTAGAGAAATAGACATAGGAATAGTTTATGTGGAATAAATTTACGGTAAAAACGTACGTGTGCAAGGTCCACCTCCACTTCCACGTCACTGCTCTGTGTTCGTCGCACAAGGCCAGATCCACTGCACTTTGTCCACGTCTAGATCCTTTCTGTCCCTACATTAAACCTCCGATGATCTCGCGATAGCTAGGCCAGTCACGTTGCCATTTCGACCGAGCCACGTCTTTCCCTACACCGTGATCTGCATATGCTTCCTCGAGGAGAATGCGTTCCCTTCGTTCGCATTTTACCACCGAACAACCCTGGTCTCCATGGTACCTGTGCGTTCCCGATTCACGAAACCAACTCGACCAGCCAGTGGCCTCCGAGCCGCGCGATTCACAACGATACCGCTCACCTTAGCAGATTCGAGATCGCCAGGGTAAAGGTCGCCAGTAAAATGGTGGGCGTGACGCCGCGACTTCCGCCGTGTTGCATAGCCGCCGGATGTTCCCCTGCAACAGAAAGGCGTCTTCGTTCTACTCTCGCGCTGCTCAAACGTTTTCCGAAAAATCCACGCGGAATTTCCTATCACGCGCGTTTACTATAACAAAATACACCGCATTCTTCAACGACCAGTGGCGGATTTAACCTCCGATAGGTAGGTTCAAAGTACCGGAAATTTTGAGGCCATTAAAATGGCCCTGAGATACGCAAAATGACGCGGAATATTGAAATAAAATTCGCCTCGATTGCGAATACCGTACGATATTTTCGACGTTCTCGTTACGCATAAATCCGCCACCGCTGATAACCTTTCATCCTGCCCGATTTTCATGGGAAAAATAGGAATAAAACGGGAATGAAAGACGACAGTTGCCGGTATCGCGTGGCCGATCATCGTTACGAACAACGATCGGTGGCGAACGATTCCAGATGTAACCGAAGCAGCAGAAAGCACGGGGCCAGTAGAAGCAGCGAACCAACGTTAATCACGAACTATCCCCTCGGTCCGGGCTCCCGATTTCCATACATACATTTCATATATCCAGACAAATGTTAACGGTGTATCGGTCGGATGAGCGTGGCCGATGTAACGCAGCATCCGGCAGTAATAAAGATAATCACGACCGGCGCACGGTGCCGGTGCAACCCGGTTACGAGACTCGTGCTCTCCTCGCGTGTACCGGGCAGCGGCGCGATTTACGAGCGAACGGAAAATCTCATTCGGCCGGTTCCGAAGGCCCCCGGCCTCGGTTCCGACTATGCCGCGATCACGCCGGGCATCGTGCAACGCTTTCGTCGAAAAACCGCGCCGTTCGTCGCCGATCCCTCGGCCTGGACCGGCGCGTAATTGCGTTAATGCGCGGATAGTGCGCGCCACTACGGATAATCCTCGCGGCTGTGCGCGCCGGTTTATCGCGAAATAATTGAAATTTGCGGTCAATTTTGCCGAGTAATCAGCCGTGTTTGAAATAACGTCGATGTCGCGATATCCGCGGTGCCAGGCCGATTGTAAATTAATTATGCAGACGAACTGCGCTGCATTAATTTTCATCGGGCATGCCTGGGCCAGGCGTCCGCGTTTTGCCTAACAGCGAATCGTTGGCGAACCGTTCGCGATATCGGGACGAGCAGCGAGGCCGAGGGTTGTTTGAGCGCGAGCCTGATCGATGCGCTCTGCGCTTTCGTCCAACGGTATCGTCTGTGTCTGCACGGCCTCCGAAGTATGTTCGATTGAAATCCGTTAATGGAATCGCGCCTGCTAATCTTGCCGCCATAATTCGAGCCGTGTTGGTTAGCAGTTCATTGTCGGTCAACTCGGCTGACTGGAATCCGAGTGAACGTTTCCGATTTTCACCTCGACGTCGTCCAGTGGTCGAAAAATCTTCGGGCTTCGTAGCTATCCGGGAACGAAAGATATTCGGTGAAAATTTCTAGTCGCGAAGGCAACCGAGGGTAATATCGAATTAACGCGGCTTCCGTTAATAGACCAAGAATTAATCCAGTCTATTCGGAAACGAAAGATATCCAGTGGAGAAGGCAGCAGACGCCCGAATAATTGGAACTCGAAATTCAACCGACGATGGAGGAGATCAAGTTATAATATCGATTCGATTTCCCGCCTATACCCAATTATTTCCTACACCCTCGGCCGACCGTAATTTCCCGAAAGCGGCCGACAATCTGGGAACACGACCGCAGCAATGAGCCGTACAACGGGCGAAGAGTAAGTCGTCAGGTTGCGCGGCACGGCGTGACGTGTTTCAATCTAGGGACTTTCTACGCGAATGCTCGGCTGGCGCGAGCCCGCTCATGATTGACAGACTGGATTGGTGAAGTTGCCGCGCAAGATATTGCACGTGTTATCGCGAATGTTGCCGGCTGACAATAGATCAAAACCAAGTGCACGCGTGAGGGGCCGAGTACTTGCCGCGGCCCCAATATACGAGCCTGTCAAACTTTATGACGAGGGATTTCGATGCTTGATGAATGAACACGCCGTCCCTTTTCCGCCTCGCACCTCCAGGAGCTGTTCCGCGCCTCCGCCATTCAAGTTGCATCCCACGATACAGGGACATCCATTGTCGGGGAATTTGTCGAACAATCACGGCGTAAAGGGGCGACGATACATCTTCGACGTCCGGCAATGCCGGTGGGTGGACGTCGGCCACCGTGTTCCATGATTTCCAAAGTGTCAGGCGAACGGTCGCTCGTTTCCAGGCCACACTTTGGGGAAATAAAATTGATAGAGATTTCGTCCCATTCCGTCGTCCACTGCTCACACGCGTGGAGCACCGTTGTACCGACTAAAAAGATTCACCGCGACGAGGAATTTTCCACGAATTCTCCACGAACGCCTTGCGAACGCGTGCTCCGACTCGACTTTCGCCGGACACTGGAGTCCAGGCAAGGCTTCCGGCGAAAAGGTTCGTCGATGACGGTTCGTTGACAGGTCTAGAATGAAACTTGTTTTCTTTTCTTCGTGTTCTCTTTCACCCTCCCACGTTTCTGCCCTCTCTCTCTCGAGTGGATTACCGATTCCAGGGGGGTCGAAACGTTTCCGTGCCCGCGATCCAAGTTGCGCGCGGAGAAATTACGAAACACACTGGCAGAATTTGAAAGTCTCGTAAAAGATTTTACGAGAATTTGCGAAATTTTTTATCACTTTTCATCACTATACATCGCTGCGGGTATGGAAACTTAGAATCTCGTTATTTACGAGTTCGCCTAACCCTCTCTCGATACCCTTGTCTATTTCTTCTTTAATAAGAGCCGATTCCTCGCGAAAGCAAAAATGGATACGACGTCACGAGATGTCGATTCGAGCGTTAAGACGCACGCGATTTAACCGGCAAGGGATGCTCGCCGATTTTTCCACGCTATTCCACCCCTTAGACGCGTTTGCTCGCGACGTTTATGGAAGGGCGTGTGCACGACGGAGACCCGTAGGCGAGCGTTCGAGCGAGTATATCACGTTGACTCGCGCGTATATCACGCGAGGGGTGAAAAAGGGGAAAGGAAAAAAAAAAAAA